GGTGCGACAAAGCGTGGTGGGCCCAAACCCATAGGTCTCAGGATTAAAATTAAGTTCTAATACTATGAAGAAAGTTGAGGTTCCGTCATAAAACCAGTTTGCAATATAAAGAATAGTCCGACTCCCGATAAGCCCTTGCAAGAAATGGATATCATCTATGTAGGATTTTGCCCTTCACATTCTCACAATTAATAGTCTTAAGAAAAAAAAAGAGAAAAGTTTAGAGTAGTGACCTTATTCCTTTTCCAAAAAATTAAACATGATATTAAAACTAATTAACATTTAATTAAGGTGCAAGGTAACAATTGGTGTTGGCTATATATACATGTTATGAATGAAGTAATGTTCATGACACATGAAAAAGTTACTTATACCATTCAACTCTCATCCAATGCACGAGTTTAAATAAGTAGGGTTAAAATTCCATAAAAAAAAACCAGGGTCAATCTAATCACAAACAATGTGATAACACAAATCTAATAAAAAAAAAACTGGAATAAAATGACCCCTTGCAATAAGTTTAAAAAGAAAATATTAGGGTCTTTGCTTTTCATTTTTCTTGTTCCTCCTTTTAGTTAAGTTGGTAGAGTAAAAATAATTGCATAATACTAGTATATATACAAGGCATCCTTTACAATCATCCCTAGCTTGCTAAAAATACCGATCAAATTAATCACGTGATGAATGACTGTGAGAGAAAGGTTGTATGCATATGTGACCAAACGCTATCCTTGCATGACACAGTTTAATCACCATCATAGTATTCATTGTAATTCATAAGTTTATAATGTGAAACAAGAAAGGGAGTGATGCTTGCTTCTAACTTGTCTTGAGGGAAAATATTGACCGAAGGGCAAAGCTTTGTCATATACTGGTGCTTTCATTGTCCAGAGCAGGGCCTTTCACTCTGAAGGAATTGGGAAAACAGTGGGTGGTGGTCCTTTGCGTTCACGCATTAGCAGGGTACCTAACGCACAGAAAAATCCAATGGCAGTAAAAGAAGAATAACAATGTGCATGCCGGGTCCCTCCCGACGTTTTTGACAAACTGTAGTTTGAGTCTCCGACAGGATATGAAGCGTAGATTTCTTCACAGGCAGTGTCCAATCGTCTCTCAGCCTTGGATGGTCCCCAAAACAGCCATCGGAAAAGGAAAATGCTAGTTCCAGTCACGGGATGAGTGATTAATTTTTTGACCATAGATGTATTTGAGTTTCGTATCTATTTAGAGTTAGAATCACTCACGCATAAGTGGATGACTGTGGTCGTGGCAGTTCTATCTTTTGCACAAAGCTAATCCAACAAGCGAAGTTTGAGTTGCATTGTAGCTATAGCTTACATTATGTTTGGATGAAGAAACTAAATTTAAATTTGGACAAAAGTCATAGTGTATAAATTGACATTCACCAATTCTCTTGTATGGATTCATAAATACGAAAATTTAGAATTTTCACCTGAAAAAAAAAACCTGAGAATTTGGGACCTCCAATTCTCAAATTTAAATTCTAAGTAAACTATTGTCATTTCAAAATTTTCATAAGTGAGAGTTCAAAAATAAAAAATACAAAATACAAAACAACTCAATCATGAGTGGCCACCACCACCACCCACCATCATCATCACCATCACACTTGCCGCCACCACCACATACAATTGTCTCACCTGCAATTGCCGCCGCCACCATCCACCGTCATCACCCACCATAATCACCATCTCACCACCACTACTAGCACCTCTAATCTAGTATCTCTCATTTTACATTAATAACTCTATACACACATTGAAAGTTTTATATTTAAATTTCATTATTCTTTTAAGTTAATCAAACAAAAAAAATTCATCTATTTAAGAAGCCTCAGTTAAAGGACTGCAACATCTTAACATAATTGGCTTGATAATTTGTTGATACACATTCAATACTGGAGTAGATATTAGCAATATCTTATTTATTCAATTTAATTTAAAATCATTTACCAACATGATTCTCGATTTCTCGTGATGAAATTTTAATGTTTGTTAAAATACTTTCCAAAGCAAAAATGATTGAGGTACTATGTTGTGAAACTAGAAAAATAGATGATTTTAATGTTTGAAATTTAAAGAACAAAGAAAATAAAATTTCATCATTTCAAATTATTTTATTAAGAATTCTATAATAATTTTAAATTTTCTCATCTACACGCAAAATTAACAAGATATCAATGTGGTAGGACATGGGGTGGTAAGTGTTGGACTATTTGGTTTTGCTTTGGAGTCATGGACCCTAGTGAGTACCACAAGGGTCTGAAACGTGCATTACAAGACAAATTAAAGGAGCAAACTAGAGAGTGGTAAATGCGTTGCTCAAGGTTAATTGGATGAATGTATCATCATTGACCATTCATTCACTTGATGGGTGTGGGTAACTATATGATACGATGTTTCTTGATAGAGACTGAAACTGTAGTCCAGAGTCCCTAGCACCAGATCCTAGAGTGGGATCGGAGATATTGTACCGAGTAACCTGGAAATCCTCTCGTATCCGAGATTCTGATTTTACTTTAGGTTTATTGAGGATTCACGTAATGAGAGCTTGTAGATACGAAGAAATATATTTCAATTGTATGTAAGAATATCTTTCAAAGAGAAATGTTTTTGTGATTTGTCTTGAAAAAGGAGAAATATAGATTAGTTAAGTTCACCTTAGTGCCAACAAGTCGTTTTTTCATATTTAGTAGTTTTCAATTTTTAGTTTTTGAAAACTAAAAACTCTTTCAAGAAAATGAAAAACTGATTATTGAAAGTTAAATTTCGAAAACTCAAAGAATGCAGTTTTCACTTCTTTTGTTTTCATTTTTTTTTTTTTTTATGAAAATTGAAAGTGGTTACTAAACAAGTTTTTCAGTTGTTAAAAAAGTGAAAACAACAATTGAAAATTAAAAGTAAAATGATTATCAAACTACTCTCAAGAGTATTATAATTGATTGAAATTTTACCCAATGCTTATCGGAGGAATTGATTTTGTAGACTCAAAACAGAAGAGTATCCCCTCTCCCTTCACTTTTATTTTTCTTCTACTTTGCAATCAAGTCCCATCGAAAATCAAACGCCCAATCAGTCCATGGTTGTAGAAACCACTTGGTGAGATGTAAGTTCTTACCAATTGTTTCTTAATGATTAAATTTTGTTGCTTCATATTTGGAAGATTTGAAGTGACCACTAGCTCAAAATCATTTCTTCTCATAAGATAAATATGGGATTAGATCATGTCTTTGCCAAATTTGAGGGGTTTGTATTGCAATTTAATGTATAGGGACCCACTATTGCAAATTATTGAGGGCTGCTGCATGGAATATTCTGTTTTGGTCTCAAGATGTGATATGACAATTAGACCTGATAATTTTTTGTATGATTCATTAACTCGACACGAAATAATATAAAATAAGCAGATCTCGATCAATTTGTTAACAAATCGGATCATTATTAAGTCACTCGTTAAAAACACTTTATAATACCGTTTATGATAAGTAAACAACACGAAAAATGACCTGTTTATGTAGTACTTGAAGGACAAGTGTTTCAATATTTATGTGGCAAGGTATTTAATATGTTGTTTTTCATTTGATTATTTATTAAATTCCAATATGACTAGAAAAGTGACGTTCCAATTACTCCTTAAGTTTTGTAGCCATATGCAGGGAACCTACTAGCTTTTATTTTCCCAATTTTTAGGATTTTCTTGTAATCTGATTAAGTTGTTTTAATCTTCTTTATTTCAAGTTCATTGATCTGTTGTAAATAGGAGTCCATCCTTGTAATTATGTAGAGTGGAATACAATGATCAATGGGTCAAAACTTTTGGACCCAGTACTGAATTATTCTCCTGCAGCCTTCACTTTTGAAAATCCTGGAGCAAATCCTATAAAATATATATTCATCACAAAAGACACGCCCTTTAAGATAACAGGTATTACACAAAAATTATACGAACACAGAAAACACGAAGCTAGACGTTTCCCATTGCATCTCTATTAACCAATGATGCTAGCTCAATGATAAAAAAATTTATGGTTCACCATATTATAACAACTAGAATAAAAGTACCATGCAACTAATGCATGACATGAACACTGAAAAGTTTTTCCATACCAAACTTTGAGCAACTCCAAGAGATTCTGTAAAAGAATCAATATGAATTTAAACAAGATGATAAGTGACTCTTCAAATTTACAGAGCAATTATTCATCAACTAAATATTAAAACAATAATAAAACTCAAGGGTAAATCCTTGAGCAAGGAGAAAAAGAACAGTGAGAATGATGTTTTAGAAAGTGTGTGGGTTGAGTTTGAATTGTTAATAATAAAATATTCGAAGTTTGTTAAAATAGAGAACATTGTTTGAGATGAAAAGTTAACTGAGTATCTAAATTTTTTTCTTTAATAGTGTTCATTTACTAGTTTAACAAAAAATTTAAAGCTTCTCTTAAAAATGCTCTTATGTAGCACCTGGGAATCCAATCCAGTTTTCAAGTAGGTTGGGAGTTTTTATGGAGCTACTGCGACCAGCCCATGAAACCCTATGGGTCCTTCAGTCCACCCAAATAAAGAATGTGTTTGGCATTGGGGAGTAGATAGAAAAATAGCACCACACGTTGAAATGGTAACTTTCTCGTCAGTCCACCCAAATAAAGAGTGTGTTTGGCATTGAGGAGTAGATAGAAATATAGCACCACACGTTGAAATGGTAACTTTCTCGTCACACTAGCTGCGAGGATATTCTTACGCTATCAGACATTTGCACCATACTTGTACCTAAGCAATGATCAATCCGACACCATACATGGCAAATCTAAGAAATAATCAACCCTTATGAGAAATTTAGATTTATAATCTGGCAACATAAGCGTCACAATACTTAATTTCTTCAAAACCTCACTCAAATAGTTTGTGATTTTAAGAGTTAATACGAAGATTTGATTGATACTAGACGTCATCAGTGATAGAATACTGATGTCATACAAGTTGCTCTCCAGCTTAAAAAAAAATTCAATATTAAAATCTACTGTGTTATAAATTCAAATTAAATAAACAGACATGCTTTTACACTACATATTTCTATTCCTGTATATCGATTGAGAATAGTAATGAGAAAAACAAATTCCCAGCAACAGCGTCTTAGTTCAGCACCAACCAACTCACAAGCATCCGCACTCCACTGGAAACGGGAAATATGAACAAGCTACATGAACTTCAAGCTCTTACACCATAAACGTCTATATCAAAATAGCCAGGTTCATTTGACGCATCCACGATGTTATGGTCGATCCTATTCTTCCTAATACTACTGCCATATTTCCCTTGTCGCAGCCAACTGAACGCGTAGATTTTGAACTTTTCTTATGGATGGTACCGAGAGAAAATTTACTGCAAGCCTTGAGCGCAGTGGTGCCGTTACAGGCATTGCAGACATAGCTCAGAAAGTTTTCGTAGTCCTACAACAGGAGAAGAATGTCATTTCCTGAAAATCCCGATGATAGAACGATAATCAAAATAACCATCAGTAGTGCAAATGAATAAAAACCACATATGCATAACCCAAACTTGGTGACAATCGTAATAGCATTGAGAAATATGATCATGAGAAAGGAACAAACCTCATAAAGTGGCTTTCCATCCACAACTACCCACGGCACATACTGATGCGGAGGCTGGAATGCACTGGTTTCAGCTGCATATTGTAGCTCAAGCTGCCAGAGAGTAATTCCGCTTGTATTTTGTTTCCCTTTTCATAAAAGTCACATAACAAACGAGGAAAAGAGAAGCGGAATTTGCACTGTCCTACTCAACAGAACACCAGAGGTTGTTCCAAAAATGACATGATCAAGAATCAGTGAAACGTCAAAAAGAAGTTTCAGCGTGATCCCTCCTACGCTTCACCTCTACCTAACGCTGTTTTTTTGTACATGCCTGAATAATTAATGAGCTGAATACAAGAAGCAGAGAAAACTAACCTCTTTACCATGCATGTCCACTGCCGTAGCATTCAGTAATAGGCTTTGAATCCAAGCCCAGTTTCTTGTAACATGACTCCCACTGGGGCTACTTGTGCTCATAAACCAAACTCTTGGCGCAATAAACGAAAGGAAAAGATCATTCCGCACAACAGTGACAGTGAACCAGAAGTTAGCAATTTAAGCTTAAATATTACTTTCTGTTAAGTCCAACATAACTCCATAAATGGCATCCAAATTAAGATACATTTCTGTAAAACCAACCGACAACCCTATATAGTACGAACACTCAATAATCCAAGTAGATTGAAATACATAACGAATCTACGAAAATTTCTACAAAGAATTCATTAGATAAATCTAAACGGTTTAACTTAACCCCATAAACACCCAATAAGCTCTTCCCTTCTCTTATAAGCACATGCAAGGTCCCTTATTTTTACGAAGTGGCGAATTTTCAAGGCTTACCAGTGCAGACCAGATCTCAGTTGCACAGGCTTCCACAGTGTTCAATAAACATTCAGATGGACCATGCTGCAACCATCAGAAATAACTAAGTCAATAAATTGAATTCGAATGCAAAGGAAAACCCAAGAAAACAGGATTGGATGAGAGGACCTGGCAAGTGAATGTGTCATTGCTTCTGAGCTTGGCATTACCCCAAGGAGAAAGCTTGAGATCAACAATGGAGATCAGCTCGTCTTTGAAGAGCTTGACAAGGTAATTCACAATGAAGTTGGCGCTGTAGGGGCTGTTAAGGAATCTCCTACATCAAAGGAGATCAGTTCGTCAACAACACAATCTGCTCCATCAACTGCACAAGTGGAATACAACCTGGACAGAAGGAATATTGCACGTGGCTGCAACATTCCTTGACAGCAGACTACCACATGGTACAGCTCATGTGCTCTGATGTGTTGCAGCCTGGACAGCAAGCACGCCACCTTTACAGCATTAGTTTATTGCATGTGTGTGTGTAAGATGTATATAAAACAACCTAGCTTATCAAAATGTAAATCAACAAAACATATCAATTCTATATGGTATCACGAGCCCAAAAACTCCAACGAGCAATTTTTTTGATCCCTCTCTTTCCTGTCTTCATCCATGGCCACTGACGCAACCAACCTTCTACCAGACCTCAACTCCACTACTCCCACCTTGATCACCATAAATGCTACAGCCCAATTACCTGTGAAACTCACACCCACCAATTACCCATCCTGGCGTGCTCAGTTCAACGCCCTTCTTTACGGCTACGACCTCATGGGTTATGTGGATGGTTCTCATCTCTGCCCATCAACCACTCAAACTGTGCTTCGCACCTTTTGGATTCGGCAAGATCAACTCCTCCTTCATGCGATTCTTGCTTCCGTCTCCCCGCACGTCATCTCCCTTATTGCCTCTGCCAAGACATCCAAGGAGGCTTGGGACAAGCTTCTTCATCTCTTTGCTAGCAAAGCACGTGCCCGTGTTCTTGGTCTAAAAGAACGCCTTACTCTCGTGCGTCGTGAGAACAAGCCTGTCTCTGAGTATCTACAAGAAGTCCGCATTATTGCAGACGAGCTTGCCATCATTGATGTCCCCCTCTCTGATGATGATCTCCTTCTCTACATTCTTAATGGTGTTGGCTCGGACTTCAAGGAAATTGTTGCGGTAGTTCGTTCCCGCGACACCTCAATCTCTTTTGAAAACCTGCATGACAAACTGGTTGAACATGAAGCTACTCTCAAGCGTGATGATACCATTGTTGTACCCCCAGTGATCACTGCCAATGTCACTCAGACATCTCGCTTCCACACCTCAAATCGTGGCTTCCGCTCTCACAACTCCAACTCCAACCGTGGGTCCTTTCTCTCTCGCAATCCTTCTCGTAGTTCCTTTGAGCACCCCCACACATCTTCATTTGCCACCAATTCTCGTGGTTCCTACAAGCCCATCCAACAATCCTTCACCGACAATGGTCGCCGCTCTACCAACATGAACAACACAGGTTATCGTGGTTTCTGTCAATGGTGTGGCACTCAAGGTCATAGTGCCAAACACTGCCCTCAACTCCAATCTGGACCTTCCAGTCCGCTTGTGGCCAATCCTACCACCCATGGCCGGTCCACCTCTTCTCCAACATGGTTGCTTGATTCTGGTGCCTCTCACCATGTTACCTCCAATGTCAACACTCTCTCTGGTACAGCCATATATGATGGTCCTGATGAAATAATTATTGGTAATGGTTCAGGTTTGGGTATCACACATGTCGGTTCAACCACTTTACACTCCTCATCCTCCCAATCTTTCAGCTTATCAAACGTTCTATGTGTTCCTTCTATGAAAAAAGACATTATTTCTATCTCTAAATTTAATAAACAAAATAATACCTCTATTGAACTTTTTCCTGATTTCTTCCATGTCAAGGATCTGAGCACGGGGGCGGTTCTTCTTCGAGGCCCGAATAAGGATGATGTGTACGAGTGGTCTCCTAAATCATTTCATCAACCACAAGCCATGGTGGGTGTGGTGGTCTCTCCCAACCTCTGGCATCGTCGTCTTGGTCACCCCAGCCATCAAACTCTCCAACAAGTCTTTCGTATGTCTTCCATTAATGTGTCTTCCAAGTTGTTCAAGTCTGTTTGTCATTCATGTCTATGTAATAAAAGCCATCGTCTCCCGTTTGGTACTTCGTCTCTCACCAGTCATGGTGTATTAGACCTCATTTATAGTGATGTTTGGGGCCCTGCTCCATACTCTTCAATTGATGGTTTTTCTTACTATGTTATCTTCGTTGATCATTTTACAAAATATATATGGCTCTACCCTCTCAAAAAGAAATCTGATGTGTTTTCCACTTTTGTCACCTTCAAAGCACTTGTTGAAAATTACTTCAAAAGAAAAATCACTAGGTTATACACTGATGGTGGGGGCGAATTTATCAAACTCCAACATTTTCTCTCATCCAATGGCATCACCCATCTTCTTACACCACCTCACACTCCTCAACACAATGGAGTCGCCGAACGACGACATCGTCATATTGTTGAAACTGGTCTCACACTTCTTCATCAAGCTTCTTTACCTCTCACCTATTGGTCTTATGCCTTTAAAACAGCTACCTATCTTATCAACCGTATGCTCACTCCGATTCTTAATAATCTCTCCCCATTCACTCAACTCTTTGATGAACAACCCAACTACTCCCGTCTTCATACATTTGGGTGCTTGTGTTTTCCTTGGTTACGTCCTTACAATTCCAATAAATTACTCCCTCGTTCCCGCCCATGTCTCTTCCTTGGTTACTCATCCAATCAAAGTGCGTTTCATTGTCTTGATCTTTCCTCCCACAAACTTTTTATATCTCGGCATGTTCAATTCGATGAGTCCACTTTTCCTCTTGCTAACCTCCCTTCCTCCACTCCCCATGTCACGGTTGATAACTCTCACACTTGGGTCTCCTCTCTTTCTCCAGTTACTCATGTTCCTGTCCACTTACCCACCAGGCCTGTTGAGTCGGTTGTTTCTTCTTCACTGCCACCACACGTCACAACATCATCATCATCAGAATCTGTCCCTGTCTCAGAACCGTCACCATCCGCTGCCCCGATCCCTATTGCTGCTGCTATCCCTTCTCTCTTATCGTCACCCAATCGCCAAGCATTGGTCCCTACCTCTACCGCACCTATATTCACCCCACCACATTCTTCAACCCAAACTGATCACGTCCAGCAACCTCCTCCCAACAACCCCGTTCGTACATACACTAGAAACCCTCATAGGACTGTTGTCACCTTTCCATCCTCTAACCCAACCTCCCCCAACCCCCCCGTACCTCATGTGCTCCCTGATCATTCCATGATCACCCGTGCCAAAGCCGGTATCCACAAACCCAATCCTCGGTATGCTATGACTGCTACTAAACATCCCATTCTCTCCTCAGTTGAACCGACATGTGTCTCTCAGGCTGTCAAGGATCCCCTTTGGCGACAAGCAATGTCCAATGAGTTCAATGCGTTAATTCGCAATGGTACATGGGAGCTCATTCCTTCCCTTCCCTCTCAAAATCTTATTGGTTGTAAGTGGGTGTTTCGTATCAAACGGCATCCTGATGGCACTATTGACAGGTATAAGGCACGCTTAGTTGCCAAGGGTTTTCATCAACGTCCTGGTGTTGATTTTTCAGATACTTTCAGTCCGGTGATCAAACTTACTACCATACGCATTGTTTTGCATCTTGCCGTGACTCATGAGTGGCCAATTCGTCAGTTGGACGTCAACAATGCTTTCCTTCATGGCACACTCCATGAAAATGTCTATATGGTCCAACCACCTGGTTTTGTTGACTCTAATCATCCATCTCATGTGTGTAAATTGAGGAAAGCCCTCTATGGCCTCAAACAGGCTCCCCGGGCATGGTACAAGGAATTACACTCATTTCTGCTCTCCCATGGCTTTGTCAATGCCATCTCTGATGCCTCACTCTTTCTCTTGAAAAATGGGACTGCTGTAATTTATTTTTTGGTTTATGTTGATGATCTTCTTATTACAGGAAACGATTCCTCACTTGTAGCAAAGTTCATTCACCTGTTGGCAACTCGGTTCTCCGTCAAAGACCTGGGCTCCCTACATTACTTTCTTTGTGTTGAAGTCCTTCCCACAGCCACTGGCCTATTTCACTCTCAGCACAAGTACATTCATGATCTTCTTGTCAATGCCAAGATGGATGGTGCAAAGGCTGTCAGTACGCCTCTCTCCACCACTCACTCACTCATGCTCCATGATGGCTCCTCCCCAACGGATCCCACTCCCTACCGTCGTCTTGTTGGTGGACTTCAATACCTCAGCCTTACACGCCCTGACATCTCCTTCACAGTCAATAAGCTCTCTCAATTCATGCATTCTCCTTCCGAGACTCACTGGCAGACGCTCAAGCGTCTTCTCCGCTACTTGAAGGGTACCCTTTCCTTTGGCCTTCATCTTTGTCGTCACCCCTCTCATCGTCTCTATGCCTTTTCCGATGCTGACTGGGCTGGTGATCGTGATGATCGCAAATCTACGACTGGCTATGTTGTCTATCTCGGTGGCAATCTCATCTCTTGGAGCTCCCGAAAACAGCGCTTTGTCTCTCGCTCCTCTACCGAAGCCGAATATCGGGCCATTGCTGCCACCACTGCTGAACTCATATGGATTCAGTCCTTACTGCGTGAACTTGGCATTTCTCTCCCCACAACACCGGCTGTTTCTTGTGATAACATTGGAGCCATGTTCTATTGTGCTAATCCTGTTCTCCATTCCCGTATGAAGCATATCGATATTGATTTTCAGTTTGTACGGGATTGTGTCACTCGTGATCTTCTTCAAGTTTCTTATGTCTCCACTACTGATCAGCTTGCAGACGCTCTAACCAAATCCTTGTCACGTCCACGTTTCCATCTCCTTCGTTCCAAGATCGGTGTCTCCGATGGTGCCACCGTCTTGCGGGGGCGTGTTAAGGAATCTCCTACATCAAAGGAGATCAGTTCGTCAACAACACAATCTGCTCCATCAACTGCACAAGTGGAATACAACCTGGACAGAAGGAATATTGCACGTGGCTGCAACATTCCTTGACAGTAGACTACCACATGGTACAGCTCATGTGCTCTGATGTGTTGCAGCCTGGACAGCAAGCACGCCACCTTTACAGCATTAGTTTATTGCATGTGTGTGTGTAAGATGTATATAAAACAACCTAGCTTATCAGAATGTAAATCAACAAAACATATCAATTCTATAGGGGCAAGGGGACTCATAATACAAAGCCAGCGAAACTTTACCAGAATCCAAGGGTGGAGTTCTGTCTGCAGAAGACGAAGGGGGTGTGAACACAACCAAGAAGAGGCAAGACGGAAGAGAAAAAGAAAGGGTTCTACGTTCGAGCCGAGAGGAAGCCATTGGACTAGGAAAGCTGAAAGAGAAAGGAAGAGCTTATTAGGTGTTTATGTGGTTGTCACTGAAGCGTTAATTACCCCTTTTAAAAAGTAATTTATGCATACGAAGGTAATTTGCTGGTAAGTATGAAATCAGTTAATTTTCAACAACCACGAGAGTTTCCATGGCAATAGTATTAAACATTACCAACAAACTACAAGTTGATACATATTCAAAAGTAATTTCTTCTCATAGAGCAAAAGAAATTATTTTCATACACACGTCAAACTGTAATTTGTGTGCATAAACGAATTCGATGAGCCAAGTATGATCAGATAAAGAGAGACCTGGCAAGTGATGGTGCTGTCGGATCCAATCCTGGCGTTGTCGAAGGGATAGAGCTTCAGATAGTTGATGAAGATGATTCCGATTTGAAGATGATTCCGACTGATAACTGTCGGGACACAGCGTTTCATAGTAGTGCTCCACTGTGACTTTGTTGCTGCTGCTTCTGCTCTCAGAATAAGTGACGGAAGTTGTAGAGAGCGAAACGGAGCAGAGAAGAAGGTGGTTAATGATGAAATTGAAGTTCCACCGTAAAATCAATTAGCAATACGAGGTGTAGTCCAAAATCATAAAAGCACATAGCAAACTTTGTCACTCACCGATGTGGGACAACTGTCAACACGCCCCCGCCTGTCAACACGTCCCCGCACGTGTGGCGGACAGCGTTTCATAGTAGTGCTCTACTATGACTTTGTTGCTGCTACTTCTGCTCTCGGAATAAGCGGCGGAAGTTGGAGAGAGCGAAACGGAGCAGAGGAAGAGGTGGTTAATGATGAAATTGAGGTTCTACCATAAAATCAATTAGCAATATGAGGAGTAGCCCAAGATCATATAAGCACATAGCAAATTTTGTCCCTCACCGATGTGGGACAACTGTCAACACGCTCCCGCCTGTCAACACGTCCTCGCACGTGTAGCGGATTTTCAAGCCTACACGTGGACAACAGCTGGGTGACGTGGAGCGCGTGTAGCCGTTTTGGCTTCACACGAGAACAACCCGCTCTGATACCATGATGAAATTGAGGTTCCACCATAAAACCAATTGGCAATATGAGGAGTAGCTCAATATCATATAAGCACATAGCAAACCTTGTCTCTCATCGATTTGGGACAACTGTCAACAGTTAAAAGGGGTCACACAAAAATGACAATTCAATGGAGTTGAAATACAATCATGCCTTGGAGACATCGCAAGTAATATAACCACAACCATTTAATACAAAGACATACTTAGATCCCTGATAAGTTTCGTGTTCCTGCAGTTTGCCCTCAACAATATCCTTGATAATATGACGATTCGCCGTTGACGGCATATTTAGAATCTTGATGTTTGGAATGTGAGAAATCTTGTGCCACTCCTCTCCACTGCCTTCTTTGCAACGTTCGGCAAGTTTCAGACACACAAAAATGGAAGGACTCTGCAGCGGTATTTTGCAGAGGAAGTCTGGCAGCGTTTCTGGCGCATAGCATTGCCCTATTTTTAAGGACAAAAGGCACGGCATGATTGTAATTTCAAAATCCACTTTGTTCCACCCTTTCACACCTTCCCAGTCCTTCCAGGACGACATATTGTTAAAGTAGAGTAGCTTCAGTTTCGGGAATAACATTGATGAGGATGCTTTGAACGGGGAAGATGTTTGATCATCTTCTTCTGCTCCCAAGAACTCACCACCAACCTTTCTTACACCCGACATCCCCTATACATACAGTGTTTCGAGGAACGGCAATCTCCCAAGGGGAGGCAATTCAAGGAATCGCAGCTTATTTAAAGACATCAACCAATTCGGCCAGGTGGAGCCAACGTACCCATAAATCACTAAAGATTCAAGATCATCGTGCGGTTGTAAGGCATTCATTCTTCTTACACTGCTTTGTCCAAGCTCGTCGCGCCCTTCACCAAAAGAAAGTACGAGATGAAAAAGTTGCTTCTTGTCCCGCAAATGTGCTTCACCAACTTGGCTCCCATCTTTCACCTTCTCCAATATTCTTACTGTGAGGCTGCCGTGGAGCTGGTTCAAGGTTCTCAAATCCCCAGCTTGAAATGCTTCGCCGTTGTCAATAGAAACTATAGGGCACACGTCTAGTGTGTGCAAATTTGTTAAGCTCCCGATCCCTTTCGGCAAGTACTCCAAACCGCTCAACCCCACGTACAGATGCTTTAAGCTTACCAACTTTCCCATGTCACCAGGCAATTTTTTAAGTGAATTGCATCTCCGAAGGTCTAACGTGTACAAATTGCATAAACCACAAATGGTGTCCGGTGATTTCACCAAATTTTGACTCCCAGACAAATCAATCTGTCTCAGATGTATTAATTCACCAATCTCCTCTAGGAGTTTTTTGATGGAACTCTGAGACAAATTTATTGTCCTAAGACATTTAAATTGTGAAATAGTGTACACCTTATCAACATTCAATTGAATTATTGTGAGCGTACGTAGAGTCTTGCAATAGTCAGAAGTGGTAGAATGTAAAGTTGGACTATCAACTACAGACGTTAAGGTCAAATGGCGAACCATACTACCCAATACCTCTATTTCATGATTAGCCCCCTCAGCCTCTGTAATCAAACATTCCTTCTTGGTGATAAATTTCACTAAGTCATGTAGAATATCATGCATCTTGCAATGCATTACTGTAGCAGTGTCATGGTCTTTCACAAAATCTTGAAAAAAAAAGACAGTGCAACCAAGTTATCAAAAATAGTTTGACCTAATTTTTCCTTATCTTTATTCTCTTTTGAATTAAGATAATCTTGTGCCATCCAAAGATTAATCAAGTTATCCCTAATAAACTCATAATCTTTTTGGGAAAATAGCACAATATAAAAGGCAACATCTATCTCTTGGGGCTAAATCATAATAACTTAGAAATAATGGTTGGAAAACTTCTTGCTCCACTTCTTTCCAATCCTATATTTTACTATTCAAAACGTCCAACCATTCCCTCCTTTTTCTCTTATCGCGCATCATACTACCTAAAGTCTTTGCATTAAGAGGCAAACCCTTGCACTTCTTTACCATTTCCTTACTAATATCTCCAAACACCGCACACTCTTCTACTTCCCTATTTGGAAATGCCATATGATTAAAAATTGATAGACAATTCTGTTCACTTAACTCTCCAAGATTAATCATGTGAGGAGTTGCTCTCATCATACTAGCAACACTTTGTTTTCGCATGGTAACCAATATTCTACTACCCTCAGTACCATTTTGCATCAATGAAAACTTTAACTTGTCCCACTTTTTGCGATCTTCAGTCCACACATCATCCAACACAAGAAGAAACCTTTTTTTCCCTAATGGATTTAGAAATGGATTGTAAGACACGATCCAACTCATTTGAACTTGGGGAGGCATCACCACTAATTGCTTTGGCGATCATTATCACATCAAAAGGTTCCGACACACAAACCCATATTCTCTCAAGCAAATGGGCTTTAACATTGACATCGTTATAGGCTAGTTGACCTAAAGTTGTCTTTCCCATACCTCCCATCCCTACACTAGGGATGATGAGGAGCCCCCTCCCTTTCTTCACTAGTATCACTCACCAACTTCCTTATCAATCTCTCTTTTTCCTTTTCTAGACCAAATATCTCAGATATATCGACAAAAGACCAAGTTTGCTGTTTTTGAATGACATTTTCAGTGAGTTGAAAATTATACATTTTTCTTTGCTAATACCTCTCATTAAGGTCCCTTATCTTCACAGCAATTTCACGACGGTTAAGTACCTCCCCGGCTTGGCCAAGACAAAAACAAGCGAAAATAGAGAAACATGCCTTTCTTTGAGGAGCAATATGAGTTACACCTTCTCTTTCTGGTTTCTCAACCTTTTCTCAGAATCTCAGTATTCCACTCATCCAGCACGTCCGCCATCTGGTACGATATTTCCTTCAGGTTGTCCAGCCAGTTTTGCACGTTGGCCTCCTTAATTTGCCTTTGCTTTGCATCCTCAAGCACAGATTCGATAGCTTCCAGGTTGCTAATGAACTCTTCAACTTCTTTCTTAGCGTTCAGAACGAGTTTCACCTTGTCCGCTACATATTGATAAGTTGTTGAAGCCAACTTTTCTAGTAGTGTGGAAACCAGCACATCAACCATTTTCAGGGTTCGAAACTTAGAAATTGATTGAGAGCGGAGAAGAAGAAGAAATCGGGAAGGGAAGTATGCGTGAAGAGGAAATGCAGGATGGTTCCCGTTTCCCTGTCGGCTTTATATGGTGACTTGTTACCATAAAGATTTTGCCTCTGATGCTACTGTTTAGTGTTTACTGTCAGTGGACGGAAGGGAATAACGAAAATTTTAGGAGCGAATGTGAATGCCTATCCAGCAAGCAACTTAATTTCTTTAGAGCCTAAACATTATTCTCAGAATCTGAATGTCTTCCTTGGGTGTAGACTTCCTACCGGAAATGAAACCTTTCGTTTGGGTGGCCGTTTGTTAAGACTATGAATCTAAATCATTGATCATGCTGATTCTTATCTAAAACTTCTGAGTAGATTCTGGCATGAAATAAAACCGTCTACAACTGGAGTTATAAACCCAGCAGCCGTTCATAAGATAATACAAAATACAAAAAATTTAGATTTGTATGTTCGTCAGAACATCCCTTAATAAATTTGGGATAAATTATCATAGCAAGGGCTGAAGTTGAACCTAAAGCGAAAGCATTTGTATCACCGCAGGGCTCTTCTACTGAATTGTCATATTTTTAGTGTCTGCAAAACTGGGGCAGCATAGGCAACGCGCTCAAACTCAATCATGTCTATCCAAAAACTTCTCTATCAGCACCGAAAATGCAGCAAAGCCGGCACAACCAACACAGGCCGCTTGTGGACCAGCTACAACAGGACAACATAAGGAGGTGTAAGAGTGATCTTAACATGCATGAAAACAAATTATGCAGATAGCAGGACTATAATGAGAATAACACCAACAATGCCGGTACTTGTCTGATTTACTCATTCTTTCACCAGTGTTATATCACATATATTTCAGGGAGGCTTACTCGATGACTGTGCTCCAACCCAAGTCAAGGCCAGGGCAAGGGAGTGTTCCATGAAAGGAAGTTACCAACATTCTACATAACTAGAGTCATGGGGTCTGGATTCCTGTTTTGACCTCATAAGGAGTGTTGAAGCTCTGATTTTAACTATGATACCAGATTAAGTAAGTAGGCATATGAAACCACTTAATATTTTAGGTTATCGCAATGTATCAATAAGTACAACAACGAATCAACCTATAATTACTTGATTCAAAATGAATCCTTGGACAAGAGAAGAAACCATGTCTGCTTCTGCAAATTAACGTCAATGATCAGCTCAATATCGACCTAGAACTAAGCACTAACCCCTTAGGCATATGGTTTTAGTTTCAAAAGTTTACGTTAGGATGTTTTGGAATTCTAATAACACCATTCATCAGCTATGCCAAGCATATTACTTATCTTCCCCACCCCTTGTCTCAATAAAAACAGTTCAAACCAGCAGCTCAAACGAACATATATTTTCAAACACTGTTAAACAAAAAGATGGACTTTCCAAAGGAGAAGATAGGGGACACAATAGTACAAATAGAATCATTATGGTGATAAGCCTCAAAGTGGAGTTGATAATGCTCATTATATAGACTACGTAAGGCCCTAGATTTACGGATTTCATTGAAAGTATTAGATCTCCATGTCAGTTTAAAGCCTTGTAAATCAATGATGAAAACATGTAAACTGATGGAAAATTGGTTACCTTTGGCTGAGAGTGCACCACCAGTTACACATCCAGCAACAACTGTATTTGTTGTGTCATGTTTAGCTCGTGCCTGAAAACAATAATCCAGAATTAGTCCCTACATCAAAGAAATTAAAACTCAATGGTCGCATAAAAATTAAGATCATGAATTTTGACATATCCCAAAATACCTTTTCAACAACACACTCAGCAGCTGAGAAAACAAATCCCATAACTGCAAATGCTTTTGCTGAACTCCAACTCCTCCGGCCCATCGACTTTGCTTGGTAAATGAATTGCTGTTTACCAGTCATTTCGTCTTGCATTAAAGGGGTGTCTAACGCTCCGAGAAGCAAACCCATCATCAACCCAAGCCCACCACCTATAAAATTCCCAAAGCTTATGATCAACATAATTAGATTTTCAGATCCTAAAAGCCTTGGAGAAGTACTGCTCACAAAGTACATCCGTTTACTATTAATTTCTATACACAAGTACAAGGAAAAACTCTAGTTGATAAACTTAAAAGCTCTCCTTGGTCATAGAAGCACTTCTTCAGGAAGCACTTCCAAGTGATTTTCTGGGCCAAAATCAAACTACAATGCCAATGTAAGCTTCTGGTAGAGTTTGCTATACTGAGCAAACCACAATACTCACTTTAAAATAAAGAAATTTAGACCTTTTTCAATACATTCAAACCCCAACAGTAACAAATTGGTGTGAACAACTAAATCTATCACATCCTTACTGATACACCACCCTTCTGCACATTCTGAAACCCACAAAAATATAATTCGAGACAACAGACAAACAAAAAGACAGTGTCTTTCCCACGTTTTCTCGGCAGCCAAACAGAGATACAGGAAAAAAAATAAACCCAACAGAAAAAAGGCAGAAACTTTCCCACATTTTCTCAGCAACCAAACAGAGAAAGACGAAAAAAGAATCTAAACCCATGTGAGAAAATCCAAAAATTAAGCCAAAGGAAAGAACTTTAGCCATACCCATAACTCCGCTAACAACGCTGCGTACGGCGCAGTTGTTCCAAATGTCTTGGCCGCGCATCTCCTCCACCGTGGGCAGCCGTATGGGCTCAATCGGTGGCTTCTCGACCTCTCTCGAGGCCGTAGGTTCGTTCTCCGGATTCGAGGCCATTGCTGTAAAGCTTGAATCGGCAGCCAAATCAGCAACAACCCATAAAATTCTCAATTGATCTGGGAGTCGGACAAGGTGAAAATTTTGGATCGGTTAAAAAGGGTGGGGTTTTGGGTTCGCCGCCATAGACGTTTTGAGAGAAGTCTGAAACTTATTCGTGCGTGAAAAGAAATTGTAACCTTGGAGACGGGGGATCGATTAATCTTAGTAAGAGCCGTGGGCAGCAATTTACCCGCGTGCGGTGCTTTGACTCTGTTTTGTGGTGCTTTGACTATGTTTTTCTTTGGTTTTGGAGTAATCCGACGGTCATGATCTTTTATTTCTTTGGTTGTGGAGTAATCCGACGGTGGTTCTTACTTCCATCTCCCAATGGTTATTTAGTTCAACGAAGTGCAAGGGGGCGTTTGTTTGCCCTTATTAAGTGAGATTGGATTGGACTAGACTAGCTGTTAGTTCAATACCGTGTTTGTTCTATGCTGGGATTAACATTAATGAGACTAAAGGGGACCCGCATGCACAAAACCCTTCACTAAGAGGTCTTAACGAGACCCTCCAATAACCATGGGACTGCTAAGACCTTCATTGCGTCTTCATCTTCTCACGTTCTCTCTCCTCGTCATCCTCCATCTCCTCTCTCTGCTCGGGTTGCCAACATCGTCAACACTCGCCAACCCAGAATTGCATTGTCTGCTTGTTTCGAATCTCTCAGAACCCAGAACCTATCGCATTCTCTCCCTTCTCTCGCCGTCGTTTGATTTACTCCGATTCGAATTGCAAAACCCAGACCCGAAAGCCGATAAACAGAGCCCAGATTCGCTGAAATTGTAACCAACATTCGAAACCCATATTCCATCGCAAATCCCAGACTCGAATTGCAAAACCAAATTCGTTAGAAGTTATGCACATCTTTCAATCACCAAACACAGCCAAGATCACACCACCAATCTTTCTCTCATTGCCCCATCTCACAATCACGAATAGGACCTCAAATTCGATCTTCAATCAGAGAACCCACGAGCTCCGTTTCCAATTCGACAGAACTCCGGTGATTTAAGGTTTTCAAATCGAATTTTTGGTCCTGCATATACAAGTGAGCTTGAAGGATTTGATTTTTCTGGGATTTAATTTTCCTTTCGAAGGATTACAATTACAACTATGGAGGGTTTGTAGAAGTTGATTGGGTTTTGGGTTGGGTGCTTTGCGTTCTTCATCTCCTTTTTTTTTTTTTTTTTAATTACCTTATTTGTTCTGTTCTTTAAATTTCAGAATATTTGATGGATTCTGTGAATTTGGTACACCAGACAAGGTGAGCAATTATTTGGAATTGGGGATTTTTAAAGGTGTTTGGTTGGTGAGAAAATTGAAAGAGAAAACAAAAGAAAATGGAATGGCAATTAGTAAGAACTGGGGAATTGCATGAAAGGAAATGAGATTTTGAAAGGTGTTTCGTTGGTTGATTTTTTGCAAATGGGATTCCATGAAAGCAACAAATGTTCAGGCCAAGCTTGCTGAAGGAAACAATCAAGAGACAGAGAGGATTGAGACGGATGCAGAAAAAAAAAAGGGAAGTGGTGAGGCAGAGAAGACAAAAGCATTCTAAAAAAAAGGGTTTCTAGAAGAAAAAAAGAGGTATAATTAATATAAATATTCTAGATATGCTTTAAAATAATATAATTTTTTAGTTTTGTTAATTATCCTGCTTCTTAGTTCAATACTGCACCAAACGCTTCACTAAGCTACTCCAACTTAGTCTAGTTTAAGCCAGCCCAGCTTAGTCCCTGAAGCTAGTCCAGTCCGATGCAACAAACGCATCCTAAGAGTATCTCCAACAATATCCATAAATGTAACTCTTTAAATATAAATTTTAATATAGACGATGACAAACGACACATTATGATAACAAAAAGGGAAAGAAATTCTCTTCGAATCTCTTCCACCAAAACTCACAGATCAAGTGATTCGGACTTTTGAAACTTAATCCAATGATTAAAATTATTATAACTTTTAAAAGAGATCCTAAATTTGAAGAACGAGTTTGACAACTTTCTTGGGGAGGGGATGTCGATGAGGATGGTATCCGCACTAGGATGGATAAGTATTATTGTTTTTCGTTATTATAATAAAGCGTCTTATATACTCCCAATGTTCTCTATTAACTTTTACACAAGATGTTAACGTAGTAGTATTTCAAAATTTTTTATGCACTTTCATGTAATAACTTATGACAGTGCATTATCGATTTACTAATCTATAATTATTTGAAAACAATATAATTTTGCTATATTGACGACACATAAAAAACTTAATTATAACTCTTTTGTTTTGATTTCCATTACAAATTAGTAAACATGTTACTAGCAAAAAAGTGTAACGTAATATTTTTGTTGATGAGGAAAGAAAACAAATGAGTGGCTAGACTACTGGGGTCCCACATCCACAACCAATCAGATCCCCCCCAAAGTCCCCGCCTATTCTGAGCTCGACCACACTAAATCTCACTCTCCAGTCCCCCAACCCTAAAACCCCATCTCATTTTTCACTCGCCCATATAAATCTTAAGCCTCTCCGCCGTTTCGTCCCTCTGTATCCTCGTCCTCGCCTAGGGTTTCTGCATCTCACTTTGCAAAGATGGTACTCTCTCTGTCTATCTCTTTCTATCTCTATCGCTCTCCTCTTCTTTCTCTCTCTAGAGATCTCTGTTGTGTGTATAACTGTTGGTTTTATGTTGTATTTTGCAGGCTAGAGGACTGAAGAAGCATTTGAAGAGGCTCAATGCCCCAAAGCATTGGATGCTCGACAAGCTTGGTGGTGCTTTTGTAAGTAAAACCCTAAAACCCTCTTCCTCAAATTTTTAAAAATGAAGAAAGTTTCATTAAACCTGCATTCTCGTCCCTCATTGTGATTTGGGATTAATTTAAGTTTTAGTCTCAAATGTGTTTTTTTTAGGCTCCCAGATGAGAAAAAAAAAATGAAAATTTTTTCCGTTGATCTACAATTTTTGCTTCATTTTGGCTTGGGTTTAATGTGAAATTTGGTTTCAAATGTGTTTATTTGGGACCCCAACTGAATAAAAATGAAGAATTTCTTCAGTAAATTTACAATGTTTGCCTTTACAATATTTGCCTTATTTTGATTTGGGTTTGATGGAAATTTGGTTTCAAATGTGTTTGTTTAGGCCCCCAAGCCATCATCTGGTCCCCACAAAGCCAGGGAATGCCTTCCCCTGGTTCTTATTCTGAGGAACAGGTTGAAGTATGCACTCACATACCGTGAGGTTGTTTCAATTCTCATGCAGCGCCATATTTTGGTTGACGGAAAGGTTAGGACTGACAAGACTTACCCTTCTGGCTTCATGGGTACGTTCTCAACAATTTCACTAAATTTAGTACCAATTCCTTATTTTTCTGAATGATTGTTTTTGCATTGTATCTGTGATGCGTAGAAATGTGCTTAAAGTTATGTTATTTGCCTTCAGATGTTGTTTCGATCCCAAAAACAAATGAAAATTTCCGTCTGCTCTTTGACACCAAGGGTCGGTTTAGGCTCCACTCAATTAGAGATGAGGAGGCAAAGGTTGGTTCTTATGCATCATTGCTTTCTAGTTTTGTGAATGTAATTTTGTTATTACTTGTGTAGAATGTTGCAATTGTGCATCAGGTTTTCTTACTATAGTGTCATTTTGTTAATTAACAGATCTTACGTAACATGTTTCTCCGAAATGTTACATCTTATGTGCAATAAAAAATATCTTAAATTTTAACAGGAAGAGAACTTCATATGACCTTTCTTGTATTTTTGTTAGATTCTTCAGCTTTAATATTCATTTCTAATGGTAGATCATATTGCTACAAAGTGTATTAGTGTTTCAGTTAGCTCACACCACAAATAAGAAGTTTTTGACCTTCTGTGGTAATCTAATTTTTTGTTTTAAATGTTTCTTGAAACCTAGGTTCTTTTAGTTTTATGGTTATTCTGCTTTTGCAATGTTGACATTGTTAATGGCTCAGAGTACTTTCTGATGTATTTCTAGCTTAGTTTTGTCGTCTACTTTTGGCGAGATAATTAACTATTTGACTTGGTATTATAAATTCCCTGAGCAGTTCAAGCTCTGCAAGGTTCGATCAGTGCAGTTTGGGCAGAAGGGCATCCCCTATCTTAACACTTTTGATGGACGCACTATTCGGTACCCTGACCCGCTCATCAAGGCCAATGACACTATCAAGCTGGACTTAGAGGCCAACAAGATCACGGACTTCATTAAGTTTGATGTTGGTAATGTTGTCATGGTTACTGGCGGAAGGAATAGGGGGCGTGTTGGAGTCATTAAGAACAGGGAGAAGCATAAGGGAAGCTTTGAAACTATCCACGTACAGGATGCCCTCGGACATGAGTTTGCAACCCGTCTTGGTAATGTGTTCACCATCGGCAAGGGTACAAAGCCATGGGTGTCTCTTCCCAAGGGCAAGGGTATCAAGCTAAGCATCATTGAAGAGGCAAAGAAGCGACAAGCGGCCGCCCAAACAGCTGCTACTGCTTAAACAATATGGCGGCAACTATATATTGTTGTTCCTATAGTTTTAGAATGGTACTTAGTTAAGCAGTTCGACTCTTTTCAGCTTATGCTCGAGGGATTTTATTTTCTTTCGTTTTGTGGCCTGCGTTATGTTATGGATTATGAGATGCTGTACTGGCTTGAATCTTGTTATGTTTTGTGCTGGAATGAGATGTGTATTGAACCATTTTTAATCAGCTTGTTGCCTATATTATGCGGATATTTACGTTATCAACTTATCACGTTGTTTGAACATTTGGCCCTAAAACTTTTCCATTTTTATCTATTTTCAAAATAATTTGAACAATATTGTTTATCGTCAGGCATTTTGGTTTTTCAATAAAAATTTTCGTTAAATTGAAGAAAGCACCGGTGCAAAGGAAGGGGTTGATTTAACAAAAATCCTCTTAACATAACAGAGATTTCGCATGACCAAAACGATTGAAGGAATGATATTGGGAAAACCAAACGGTTAGAAAATAGACAAGAAACCAATATTTCCAATGAACATTAAGATTTAAGACTGGAAAAAGGACAAAAAAAATGGGAGAATTGTGAAAAGCACACTTGATCTGTTCATTGATGGCAGCTTCTGATT